GAAAGGACCCAGGTGAGTGGATGGGGAGCCCTGAGGTCCTGTCCAGGATGAATCTTGCAGGACTAAGAGACTAGGTAGCTTGCTGAGAATATTCCAGAAGCTTTTAACAACTAGACAAGAAGGCCAGATTCCAACAGAGTAGGGGGTTACAGGGGTGAGAACAGGAAGGTGCACAGAAGGTCTGAGGATAGACCTTCCAATCCCACCTGCTTTGGGAGCCTGGATGTGGGTGGGTAGTTGACTGGGCCAGGAGCAGTTGCCCCACACTGCTTAGTGGACACACTGCAAACTTCTTGCCTGAGCTGAGAAAAGTGAGACCATTGTATCAGTTACTTCTCTCATGCTAGGACAAAATACCTGACAAAAGCAACTTAAAGGAGGAGGGGTTTGCTTTGGCTCACAGTTTGAGGATACAGCCCATCTCTGGGTGGGGTTGTCATGGCAACAGGAGCATGAGGCAACTAGTCACATTGCATCGGCAGTCAGAAAGCAGAGATGAATGCCAGTGCTCAGTTCAAGACCCCAGCTTGTGGGATGATGTCACCCACATTTAGGGTGGGTCTCCTCTCCTCAATTAACTAACTAGTCTAGAAGCTCCCTCACAGACATGTCCAGAGTGTCTCCATACTGACTCTAGGCCCTGTCCCATAGACAGTCATTAGCTGACACAAATAGTTGGCTGCTGTGTGCACAAGGACGGAGGGCAATGGTACCTGGACCATGGTGTTCTGGGACCCGTGCTGGCCTGGCACTGGTGACTGCTGGCTACAAGGATTCACCTCTTCCCCGCAGGCACCCAGAAGAGCTCGGAAGAGAGCAGAAGGCACAGCCAGTTCCAACGTCTTCTCTATGTTTGACCAGTCCCAGATTCAGGAGTTTAAAGAGGTTGGTCGGTGGCCCTAGGGACCCTGGGGACCTGTACTAGTTACTTTTCTTTTCGCTGCAACAACATGCCTGACAAAGGCAACTTAAGGAAGGACGGGTTTGTTCGGGCTCACAGTCTGAGGGTACCCTCTGTCAAGGTTGGAGAAGTACTGTGATCCAAAGTCAGGAAGCAGAGAGAGAAGAATGCTGGCGCTCAACCTGCTTCTCCTTTTCATTCAGTCAGAAACCCAGCCCCTGAGTTGATGCCGCCCTCACTGAAGGTGGGTTTTCCCACCCTAGTTAGCCCAGGCTAGAAAACCCCTCACAGATATCCCAGAGGTGTGTTTCCATCACAAGAGGATTACCGGGATTCGCAGAGGTTGTTCAAGGAGCCCACAGTGGCTACCCACATTGTCATCGTTCTTCAAGGTCGTTATGGCTGCCTCTGTGCCTGCAGAGGTAGTCGCTACTGTCTACCTGAGCCACTTTCTGTGTGACTTATGGAAAAGCCTTTCCTTTCCTGAGCCTCAGTTTCCCTCTCTGAGTCGCTGTGCTCTTGAAATAAGGCATTGAATGTGGAGTCTCAAAGCACTCAGGGTAGAGGCTCAGAAGGGGCGGACTACAGTTCCCAGGGTGCAGTGCGCACTAAACTAAGCTGGAGCTCTGGCAGGTGTGTGTGTGGCTCCTAATTGAGGTTCCTCCTGTGGCCGACAACCGAGGACACCCTGGAGAGAGGGGAGGGACCAACCAGTCTGGGTAGGCCCTCGTGGCTCATGGTCTCATGTCTCCATCAGGCCTTCACTATCATGGACCAGAACCGGGACGGCTTCATCGACAAGGAGGACCTGAGGGACACCTTTGCCGCACTGGGTGGGTAAAGCAGAGGCTGCGGCAGCTGGGGACCTGGGGGTTTAGACAGTGCTAATGGCTGAAAGAAGGGCAGACCAAGGCAGCCATAGCGAGGGGCGAAGTGGAGGGGAAGGTTTGCAGTGTGGCAGGAGGACTTGGTGGCTCGGGGAGGACTTTTCTTTTTCTCTTTTTCTTTTTTTTGAGACAGGGTTTCTCTGTGTAGCTTTGGAGCCTGTCCTGGAACTAGCTCTTGTAGACCAGGCTGACCTCGAACTCACAGATATCCTCCTGCCTCTGCCTCCCGAGTGCTGGTACTAAAGGCCAGGGGAGGTGAGAGGTCAAAAGGGTGTGGTAGTGCTGCCTGTAAACCCAGCAGGCTCATACCAAAGCAGGTGGAGTTCTGATTCACTGATAGGCTGGACTACATGGCAAAACACTCAAAATAAAACAGCTGGGTTTGGGGAACAGCTGGAGTTGATTAACTAAGGTACCGATATGGGTTGAGTTTTGAGGTCCTGGGAACCTGAGGGCCCTCTGGGACCATGTAGAATTCCAGGGTTCCTGTGTCCCAGGAGTGCACGAGACCCGAGCCTCTCTATGCTGTACTGCTTCCAGCCTCTGATTGCTTGCTTGCTTGTTTGTTGTTGTTTTAGTCTGTGAAAGGAAGATACAGAGTGGCTTGCTCAGTTTTCTAGGAAGCTTGGGAGGTGGGATGAGGGTGGAGACAGCAGCCTGTAGACTCCAATGTTCCCCCTGAAGCTTCCCCAATAGATGCGTGGTGCCTGGTAGAGACGGGGGAACAGTAGGAGCAGAAGAGACTGCAGGGCTCTCCTTGGACTCCTCCCCTTTCCCTCTCCAGGTCGCATAAATGTCAAGAATGAGGAGTTGGAAGCCATGGTGAAGGAAGCTCCAGGGCCCATCAACTTCACAGTCTTCCTGACCATGTTTGGGGAGAAGCTCAAGGGTGAGTGAGGTTCTTGGGGGCCTAGGGAAGGGCTGGGAGCAGGAAGCAGATATACCCACAAGCCAGGCCCTTATGTTACATAGCCACAGATGGAAACATGGCAAGTCTCCCAGGTACTATCCCCTGGCTGTGCACACTGGCCTGGACCCTATCTCAGTTTCCACCTCTACGTGCACAGTGGAGAGCACTGTAACAACCTCTCCCTTGTAATCCTTCTGCCACTGACAGGACCATACCCACCTGCTTCTACTCCCAGCCCCCTCTCCACCGGCCCGCTCTGCCCTCCTCCCATTCTAATCCCCCTTACCTGCCTGCCCTGCCCCTCCAGCCTCTGTCTATGGTGACTGGTAGGCAGAGGGGCACTAAAAGGGAATAGGAGTTCTGAGATCAAGGTTACTTGCCTTGCGCTATTGTGGAGTCAGTGTAGTCTCCAGGGAAAGGACTGGAGAGATTTTCTCAGTGCTGAGGAGGAATGCGGTGAGTTTGTGGTACCTGCCCCAGGTACCCCAGCAAAAGAAAACTCAAATAGACCTCACTTCTAACTACTCCATACTCCTGAGACATAGCCCCAGGCCTGGGGCTAGAAGATGAGTTACCTCTGGTCCTCTTCTCCTTGGTCCTGGAAGCTCCCCTGTAAACACATCCCTGAGCTTGAGTGTTCTGTGGTGGAATGGGACACCTGGGCTGTGGCTGCCCCTAACCTTTAAGGTTAAGATCTGGCTTCCCTTACAGAGGGAGGGGGTGGTGATGAGAGGGCCATTTGCTTTTTGTACCTTGGTATTTTAGCAGAGCCAATGCCTAGAATATTCCACTCAGAGTTAAGGGTCTGGGCTCAGTAGCAGGATCCTTGCATAGATCTCCCAGGGAGTGGCAGGGGACATGGCTGAACAGAACAGCATCCTAGAATCCCCCCTCCCCCAGTGAGGGGCTGGGGTGTGGCTCAGTGGTAGAGCCCCTGCCTAGAATCCCCCAGGGAGGGGCTGGGGTGTGGCTCAGCAGTAGAGCCAGAGGATGGTGTCTCCTTCTCTGATGTGACATGTATATGAGAGATGAAGATTTAGGACTCTTTTGGGTGCTCACAGGAAGGGGCACCACTTGTAGCTGTGATGGCCTGTTTTAAGCATGAGGCTCACTTAGTCTGTGGCTAAGTCAGAGTGATGGCTGAGGGCCTGCTGGGGTCCTCAAAATGCAGCTTGTTCTCATCTTTGCTGGGGTTCCAGGCCTGGGGCTTCAGCTGAGCCTGTCATGCAAACTTGTCTAGGGCTGCGTGAGAGGCTGGCAGTGGGGAGGGCAGTGGGCTGGGACAGGCACCATCACAGCCGATTATTGAGACAAGGAGACTGTCCTCTGACTTCCCACAATGGCAGGCTGCCACTGTTGAGGGCTTTTTAATGGGTCTTCCAGGCCTCAGAGCAGAGGTCCTCTCTGGAGACAAGGCAGGGGGTGGCTGCTTGAGGTGAGTCTGCCACAGCCAGGCCAGTGCCAGCAAAATTCAGGACTTGGTTCCAAGGAAGATAGTGGGGGCCAACTGCAGATCAGCTCCTACTGCCAGGACTCTACAGAGAGACACCGGGGTCTTCAGATAATTGATAGAAGTGGGAAGTGGTGGCTTTGGAGGCTGGGACTCTAGCCAGCCCCTATCAGAACCCCTGTACCCCTTAAGCCTCTGTACCTTAGGGCTACCCTCAACTTTGCTGCTGAGCCCACCTGGGATGGACACACTGGCTCTCATCACTGTTCAGAGGGGACAAAGCTCTTCTTCCCAGGAAACAGAAGTCTGGTAGAGAAGACACAAGAGTCTGACCCATTCTAATAGGGGACACACACAGAGGCCTGGAATATTCTTACAGAGGAGACACACAGGTCCCTCGTGTGGTCTGGTGGGGGGAGGCACAGAGAGCCCTGACTTAGTCTAATGGAGGAGACACAGACAGATTCATTCTGATTGGGGGAAATAAGAGGGCCCTGCACCAGGCTGATGGGTAGACCCAGAGAGCTCTATGTCCAAGTGATGGAGCCTAAATGGACTGCATACGTTTAGTTGCAAGTAACTTGCCCCACTGTACATAGACTCCCTGACAGAGCATTTACTATGCTCTTTCTTCACTCTCCTGACAATTGTCCCCATTTCTTAGATGAAGAAACTGAAGCTCAGAGAGGTTAGGTGACTTGCCCAAGGTCTCAAAGCTGATATTATTGAATGATCAATGCAATCCGGTGGTGAGTGAGCAGCAACCATGAGATTCATTCATGACTCAAGTTACAAACAGGCTGTAAGTGAAAAAAAAAGAGCTCCGAGCTTGGGGGTTGAGGTTGGCGCTCATTGGAGAGGTCTTCAAGAGCAGGAAAGCCAGGGGCAGACAGGTTGGCAGCGCAGCTGGGATTGCTCCTATTGCGCCACTTTTGTGACTTGAAGAAAGTTGCTACAGAAATAAATGACTCAAGAGTCTGGCAAGGGGCATGGCTCAGGGGTAGAGCACCTGCCTAGAATCCCCCAGTGAGGGGCTGGGGTGTGGCTCAGGGGTAGAGCCCCTGCCT